AGCCTGGTGTGCTGCAGTCCATGGGGTTGCAAATAGTCGAACATGACTGAGCAACTGAACTGAATTGTAGTCATTTATATTCTTCACAGTTCCAAATTTCTGACTTTTCAAATGGGAGAGGAAAAATCACTTATGACTATTTTTTTGTTCTGTGTTTGTTGATTTTTACAAAATATTTATTTACCTTATTTATTTATTTGGTTGTGCTGAGTCTTAGTTGTGGCATGTGGGATCTTTAGTTGCAGCTTGCAAACTCTTAACTGAGGCATGAGGGATCTGGTTCCCTGACCAGAGATTGAACTTGGGCCTCCCTCCAATGGGAGTGGGGAGTCTTAGTGACTGGACCACCAGGGAAGACCCTGGTGATAGTTAATACCAAGAAATTTTTAAAGTATAGAAGTCCTCTCTCTTGTCCACAAAAGAAACAGCTTAAAGCTACTAATACTTGGGAGAATATATGCACCAAAGCAAACAGTTCAGGGGAGCAATAGTAGAAGGAACAAACGTTTAAGATAGTTTGGAAGCTTCTATTGTAGAAGGTATTTTTTTTTCCTTTAACATCTTGCTGTATCTATGAACCTGGAATGATCTGCCTTTTGAATAAAAATAGAAAAAATTAAGTAACATGTGTAGATATGACCCAACACAAGGAGAAAAGTAGGAGGACCAAGGACACTTGTGTTTTTTCTTATCCTTGTGTCTTTATGGCCACAAAGTAGCAGGAGAAATGTTCCAGAAATTCTGTCTTGGATTTTCTAATGAGTTGCTGCTAGTCATAAGGTTGAGACTGGAGGCAGTAGGCTCAGGCAAAACAAAACCTGTTCATTACACTGTTTGTACTGAAGCCAATTAAGTGTGTGGCAGGCCCTAAGGACACTGGAGACACTCCCTGCTTACCTTAACACAAAGAAATCTGCTCCCCAAGTCGTACAAGAAAAGAAGGTGTGGAAACTCCCAGGTGTGCGGCCTCCCAGATGGGTCACCGTAAGCAACTCACTTCACTGAACAGCTGTTCTCATGCTACAGATAAGGAAACAAACAGCTGTCTCAAGGAGCAGTCCTTTGGACGGCAATTTGTAATTACACTCACGTACTTTTGGCCTGTAGATGTCTGTAAGAATGACACGGTGGAAACATGTTTGGCACTCAGCTAAAGAACAGTATCTTAACCATAGTTGTTCGGGGCCTGGTATGAGTAGGGTGATTCAGGAGAGTTGAATGAGGGAAGTACTGAGTAAACTGAGGTCTGATTGAGAGCTCTCAAGGGGTAGGGAGGCCCCCAAGGCCAGCAGAAGAAGTGCTAATATCATTCCTAGATCTGAAGGGTTGAGGGAAGGAAGCTACTCGTGGACACTAGAGTTCTGCTCTAACAACACCCCAAGATAAGAACTGTAGATGCCCAAGCATGTGATTGAGGTACTGGGTGATCTAGAACCTCACCCTTCTCCAGTCTCATGTCTCCTTGGGTAATGTATATTGGTGGAGTCCAACACGAAGCCAGCAAGTGCGTGCATCCACTCCATACGCCAAGAGCAGGTGGACAGTGCTGGAGAGTGAATCTAGAAGAGTAGCTGGGGAATGTTCAGCATGCTAACCACTATCCAGAAAAGTTTTAAATAGATGTTTGGTGTGTAGATGTTAACCCCAATCTCCCAGTTCATCCCCCTTCTTCCTCCCTGCTGTGTCCATTCATTTGTTCTCTACATACATGTCTCTATTTCTGCTTCACATTCAGTTCAGTCGCTCAGTCGTGTCTGACTCTTTGCGACCCCGTGAATTGCAGCACTCCAAGCCTCCCTGTCNAGACGGACCTTTGTTGGCAAAGTAATGTCTCTGCTTTTTAATATGCTATCTAGGTTGGTCATAACTTTCCTTCCAAGGAGTAAGCGTCTTTTAATTTCATGGCTGCAATCACCATCTTTACCTTTTTTCCTAGATTCCATATATATGGGCTAATATAGGATGTTTGTTTTTCTCCTTCTGTCTTCACTCTGTTTGACAGTCTCTGGGTCCAGACATCACTGACTCGTGAGGACCTAATGTGTAGCATAGGGAACTCTATTCAGTGCTCTGTGATGACTTAATGGGAATGAAATCCCAAAGAGAGGAGATGTGTATATGTGTGTAGCTGAGTCACATTGTTGCACAGCAGAAACTAACAGAACATTTTGAAACAATTATACTCCAATAAAAATTCATTAAAGGAATAAATTCTGATTAGGAAGCCAAAGGGTGATAGGAAACTACTGTGTGACAAGAACTTTCATAGTCTTAGAATCCCCTTAATGGAAAGCTGATTGTTCCATTTAACAGGACAGGTGATCCTGGGAGTTTACTCAATTTTTCATGGTCACAAAGCTAGTAAGTGTGAGGGTACTGTGAGAAACCGAACTTACTTCACTTCAATAGGAGAGAGCATTTATAAGGGACCTCTAACTTGTCAATAGATGTGCATCATAGATAGTATGAAGCTGTATACTTTGATGGTGGAGGACATCAACATTTCTGTAGTAAGTGGAGACCCAGGGAACCCTTCTTGTCCCATTAAAACAAGGCCATCCATCATGATGCTTCACTCACATATACAACTCAAAGACACTGACCTAGGTATGCTAATATCAACTGAGCATCAAAACTATTTTAATTCCAGGTGTCTGAGAGACATCACAGTTTTTTTAAAATTTATACTCTAATGATATATTTTTTAAAATGATGGGAATAATACACACCAATCTTCTCAGTCTCTGAGCGAGTTGTAAAAATTCTTTCACTGGAGTAACCTGAGAGGATTCATGTGTAGACCTCAGTCCATCAACTTCTTTGAAAAAAGTTGCTGTCTTCCTTGAAGAGTTATATCCCTTTTCTCTGATGAGTGGAAACTATACATCACATTCCAAAGTCCAGTGGCTGGCTTTAATTCATGATAACCTTAAACTGTGATGGTACCTAAACTTTACAAGCTACAAGTTACTCCTGTAAATACCGTGGGAGTAAAACCATTTTATAATCCTTCTTACTGGAATTGGGCCCAGACTCAGGATATTCTGAGTCATGAAAATATGCATCCATAGCAGAGTAGCCACATTGGCATCTTCTCATGCTAATGATAAGGTTTCCTTATTGTTGTTCTTACTGTCTTTTGCCTAGATGTTTATTTTCCCCTCAGGAATGCCTCACAGTGATCCAAATTGGAATGGTTGCTGTATTTCTAATTTTTCTCCTTTCAGTTTTGGTTTATAAACATAAACATATGACCTATTGAATTATTAATATATTAAGATATGGTCAAGTCCTGAAATGAATTTTCATACTGGAAGATATCATTATGTTACTATCCATATTTCCAAATAGGCAGGGCTGTCCAGTTGAGTGCTCCCTAAATGGGAGACTCTGATATAAAGGTGGTTTCAAGGTCAAATAAAGTGCAGAAGAACTCACATCTTTTCCCAGAGCCTGCTCATTGCCTGAATGGATTAGACTTCCCTGGACACTCTCGTTCCTCAGCTGCTACTTGAATGATTCAGGGACTTGAACTTCTTGCATACCTTTTACAGATAGATAATTTAATTAGAGCATATGAGTCCAGAAAAACAGAATTACAACTTTAGACATCCTTACTTTGAATTGAACATGTATGATGTCCCTGAGGTTAGAAGTGAGAGGCAAATTTTCTTTAATTCAGAGATTTTTTTTTTTTTTTCACTTGGTCCTGAGAGGTAACTCATTTACTCATCAGGAATATTCTGAGCTAGTCACAAACATTTTTATCATAGGCCTTTAGCAATATGGTGGCAGGGGATCTTATGACCGAGTTAAGTAAAAGTGCAGGACACAGAAAAATAGCAATATCCATTAATATGGGAATGCCTGCATTACTCATTGTACATTAATTAATGGAGAATTATACAGCTGTGAGAAGTAATGAGTTGAGCCTCTAACCATTGACAAGATCTCAAAAATATCCATTGTGGGAAAAAAGAAAGCCTCAGAACAATGACTATACTGTGATCACATTTGTGGTTAAATGTTCATATGTACATTTGCACATTTGTATGCATATATATGTGAAAATATACGTATCAAAATGCTAGCAATGTTTATCTATGGAAAGAGGTATGAGGGTAGGGAAAAGTCAAAATAAAGATTTTTCAAAATACCTTCAGAAGTACCTACGTCGATCTTTGAATCTTTAACAAGAATATTAAATGACTAGTGAAATATACTGAGAAACAGAAAGATAAAACTCTGAAAATAAATCAGAAAAAAAACTTCACATTTTAGAACTGATACTACATTATTTACATGCTTTTGTGTTTACCCCCTTTTCTATTTTCTCTATCTTCCTGTTTCTATAAAACATTTATTACTTTTACAATAGTCATGATGTAACTAAACAATTAAAATATAAATGTAGTTGAACAATGCCTGAACTTAGACACTTGCCTGTATTAATTCCGATTGGCATTTTATCCATCTGAGTTGATTCTCATAATGCATTTATTTCTTTCATCTCTCTGATGTATTTGTGAGCCTTAGAATAATTTATCTTTGACCTCGGAGCCTTCCAGCTATTTGTGTATTTACTTCTCTTGTAGGGGAATTGGAGTCTGTGATAAATTGAAGGATTCTTTCACTTCCAGGGTTTTCCTGGGTAGATGAAGCTATGTTATGATTTATACTTTAATTTGGTAGGCAAGAGTATGCCATTCAACTTACTTTCTAATGTACATTTTTATAAGTCCTTTTTTTATACACTGTAAAATGTACTTTTGCAAGTAATCCACTAATGTCTATGACTACCGTCTTTCTCAGTGTTGGCATCAGAGATGCACACCAGCTAAATGTCAGAAGAACACAGAAAGTTATCTGAGTGGGGATCTGATGTATATGCACATGTGTCTGTATGCGTGCGTGAGTGTGTGCACGTGTATGTGTGTGATGCACACTTTCAGTCTTGAATGAGCTGTCTGAAAGTCACTCTCCCGCCTTCTTCCCCCCAGCAATTATAAAAACCGCCCTTCCCAACATGGACAGGGAAGCCAAGGAGGAGTACCTGGTCGTCATCCAAGCCAAAGACATGGGGGGGCACTCGGGGGGCCTGTCTGGCACCACAACGCTGACCGTGACCCTCACTGATGTGAACGACAACCCTCCAAAGTTTGCCCAGAGTAAGTGCGTTCCCCGAGCTGCGTGAGCATCTCTCTATGATGTTTTCATTTGCATCGATGTTCTAATTTTCAGTCATTTGAAAAACTGATAGCAATCAGGGAGTGCCTGTGATGTGCAAGGCAGAGTAAATCCACACATATAGGAAACTACCCATGCTCCTATCATTTGGGTACTAGATGTATCCTCACTTTACAGACTTCAAAGCATGTATAAGAACATTTTTGAATATTAAACATAAAGTAAATATCACAACTGAGTATTAGAACCTGCAAGCCTGGCTGCAAAGATTTGTGCTTATTTCTCTAGTCCAGGGTATGTCCTGTGAAGAAAAGTGGAGAGAATGATTGAAACGCACCTCAGGTATTGCTCTATCAATAGTCCCACTTGTTCTATAAAAGAAAATAAATCTCTAGAGCCTGAGGTGGAGAAGGCAGATATACAGTACACTTGCTGCAAAATATACACTCCTCCTTCCAGTGGCTGGCGGGACATCAATGATCGCCGACTCTCCCCGTCCCTGTGAGAACTGTGCTTGGCCCCCTAAACCTCTCAACAGCAATCAAGGCAGCCACCATCAGTGAATCAGGAAGGCGATCATTATTTGCCAACTTTCCTGGACTCTCACAGAAACCTTTCCTTCTGTGCATTTTGGCAAGGGATCTGCTATTAGAGAGATGATTTAGGAAGGGCTTTTTGACATGGGGAGTATTCAATTGAGAGAAATGAATGATAAGTAGGAATTAGCTGGAACAAGGTGAAACCATGAAAAGGAGGATGGACATTGCAACTGGAGGAAATGGATGCCCAGAAGTCCTGTAAAGAAGGGTGTACGGCCCTGAATGTACTTCACATTTTAGAACTGATACTACATTATTTACATGCTTTTGTGTTTACCCCCTTTTCTATTTTCTCTATCTTCCTGTTTCTATAAAACATTTATTACTTTTACAATAGTCATGATGTAACTAAACAATTAAAATATAAATGTAGTTGAACAATGCCTGAACTTAGACACTTGCCTGTATTAATTCCGATTGGCATTTTATCCATCTGAGTTGATTCTCATAATGCATTTATTTCTTTCATCTCTCTGATGTATTTGTGAGCCTTAGAATAATTTATCTTTGACCTCGGAGCCTTCCAGCTATTTGTGTATTTACTTCTCTTGTAGGGGAATTGGAGTCTGTGATAAATTGAAGGATTCTTTCACTTCCAGGGTTTTCCTGGGTAGATGAAGCTATGTTATGATTTATACTTTAATTTGGTAGGCAAGAGTATGCCATTCAACTTACTTTCTAATGTACATTTTTATAAGTCCTTTTTTTATACACTGTAAAATGTACTTTTGCAAGTAATCCACTAATGTCTATGACTACCGTCTTTCTCAGTGTTGGCATCAGAGATGCACACCAGCTAAATGTCAGAAGAACACAGAAAGTTATCTGAGTGGGGATCTGATGTATATGCACATGTGTCTGTATGCGTGCGTGAGTGTGTGCACGTGTATGTGTGTGATGCACACTTTCAGTCTTGAATGAGCTGTCTGAAAGTCACTCTCCCGCCTTCTTCCCCCAGCAATTATAAAAACCGCCCTTCCCAACATGGACAGGGAAGCCAAGGAGGAGTACCTGGTCGTCATCCAAGCCAAAGACATGGGGGGGCACTCGGGGGGCCTGTCTGGCACCACAACGCTGACCGTGACCCTCACTGATGTGAACGACAACCCTCCAAAGTTTGCCCAGAGTAAGTGCGTTCCCCGAGCTGCGTGAGCATCTCTCTATGATGTTTTCATTTGCATCGATGTTCTAATTTTCAGTCATTTGAAAAACTGATAGCAATCAGGGAGTGCCTGTGATGTGCAAGGCAGAGTAAATCCACACATATAGGAAACTACCCATGCTCCTATCATTTGGGTACTAGATGTATCCTCACTTTACAGACTTCAAAGCATGTATAAGAACATTTTTGAATATTAAACATAAAGTAAATATCACAACTGAGTATTAGAACCTGCAAGCCTGGCTGCAAAGATTTGTGCTTATTTCTCTAGTCCAGGGTATGTCCTGTGAAGAAAAGTGGAGAGAATGATTGAAACGCACCTCAGGTATTGCTCTATCAATAGTCCCACTTGTTCTATAAAAGAAAATAAATCTCTAGAGCCTGAGGTGGAGAAGGCAGATATACAGTACACTTGCTGCAAAATATACACTCCTCCTTCCAGTGGCTGGCGGGACATCAATGATCGCCGACTCTCCCCGTCCCTGTGAGAACTGTGCTTGGCCCCCTAAACCTCTCAACAGCAATCAAGGCAGCCACCATCAGTGAATCAGGAAGGCGATCATTATTTGCCAACTTTCCTGGACTCTCACAGAAACCTTTCCTTCTGTGCATTTTGGCAAGGGATCTGCTATTAGAGAGATGATTTAGGAAGGGCTTTTTGACATGGGGAGTATTCAATTGAGAGAAATGAATGATAAGTAGGAATTAGCTGGAACAAGGTGAAACCATGAAAAGGAGGATGGACATTGCAACTGGAGGAAATGGATGCCCAGAAGTCCTGTGAAGAAGGGTGTACGGCCCTGAATGAGAACTGAAAAAACTCCACTACAGCCGGAGCACAGTCTGGAGAGCTAGGTTAGGCAGGGAGTCAGTCATCCTTGGATCTGTTGACCCTTTTAAGTACCATGATCTTTATCCTAATATCACTAGGAAGTCATTAAAATATTGTAAGTTGTAGGTTGAGTAATAGGATTTGATTTTAAGGAAATCAGAGAAAGTGGAATCTGGCCTTCTTCCAGGGTCTTTTCCACACTGCAGCCAGGTAAGGGATGCTAGAAATCATTCACATAAAAGGTGATGAAAGCCCTGGCAAGCAGGGTCGATCGTGTGGGAATGGAGAGAAGTGATAGATGTTTGAGGGCTAATGGTAACAACAATCTAAGGGTAGGCTGCACTTTCAGTCGAGGATGCAACCCTCTTCCTGACATGAGAGATCAGCTGCCTGCTGGTGCTCTTTGCTGGGATAGGAAATACTTTAGGAAAACCATGGTTTTTGAAGAGAGAGAGAAAAGCCAGAGGAGGGAGAAGGAGAGGGAGAGAGGGAGAGACAGAGACAGGGTGTGGAAATGACACATTTGAGGTGCTTTGGAAAAATTCTCTGCAAAAATGCCAAGGTAGAAAGAACAGGAAATACTGCATTTCATTAAGCATTTGAGAATTTCCACATCTGGCCATTCATAAATCAGACAACAATGCAACCCTTTTAAGTCGAAATGATGGAAATTAAAAACACTGTCTCTTGCATCTTTCCCCGAATTCTCTTATTCTCTTTTCAGTTGCCATTATAGTTAATACACCAGCATGCAACTCCTCTTTCTCAGAAAATTATTGTTTCAATTGAGCAGTAGCCTATGAGTTTCAAAAGTGTTTCCTCTCATAGAAGTAATAATGATTAACTATGATCACACTGAAAGGGATGATGAGAGTAGGAAGAATAACAGTGGATAATGAAACGTTTCACTGGCTTGATTTCTCAAAGCTTCCTGGTGCAGGGCTCGCAGTAAGGTGAGGCCCCTTGCTGTCTTATTTACCTAATAAGCACACCTCGAGGAATCATCATAAGACCTTACCTGAAATATAAAGTTGGAAGGAAATGGAATCATTACTGATTATGGGGGGAGTGGGAGACTTGTGCTTGACATGATGGTTTTTGGTGCCTACCTTATGAAAAAACTGTTTTGTTCCCTAGTCCCATAATATTATGATTTTAAGAGGCATTTTTATTCCATCGTTAGATAAAAGCGTGCTACTGCCATTAGAACAAATTTTCCCATCATATGAAGTTATCCTTTTATACTGGGTACATGAGGCCTTAGTTTATCCAAGGGATTCAATGATTGAGTTCAAACTAGACTCAGGTAATGTTCTCTAGATTTAATTTTTCCTTTCGGGTTTATGGTCCATTGAATGTTTATTTCCCCTTGTTCTCATTACATGGGGACTACAGCTTCCTGCTTGTCTGGATTTGGATTCCGCAGAAACAGGCACTGAGACAGGAATTTGCTTATAAGTGGTTTACCTTGGAGATGATCCCAAGAAAGGCCAGTTCGGAAGTGAGAATGTGAGGAAGAGGAGGCTAGAGAGCCAATGCTGTGTATTCTCAAGCCAGCTTCCACTGGAGAAACTGGAGCTTCATCCCTGTGGGGATACCCTGGTGCCCTGTAAATACACAAAAGGAAAGGACAGGCTTAAGATTATCCTCCCAGAGAGGTGATGGAGCCAGGGATTTTATATAGTAAGTTGTGTGAGTCTCTGAGGGGTATTAATTTTCTGCGAGTTCTAGCCTGACAGGCAATGGTCTTGATGGGTTCAGAAGTTGGCTGTTGGCTGCAGGACAAGAGTGACTGAGGTGGTAATGCCCAGGGGTCAGGGCTTGGAGTACCAGCAGCCTCCCCTACACCAGTAAAAGCCAGCGGTAGCTGTGCAACAGCCAAAGTGATCTGAATACAAAAGGGACTGATGTCACTAATTAGACACATTGTCCTGCCTCCCCCAGGAGAAGGCATACACACTGTAATTGTATTTTTTGCCTAGAGAGTGTTGAAGGTAGGATTTTTGGTCTTCAGAGCAAGGAGGACTTTAGTAACAAGAGGAGTGTTTCATGTGTCTGAACAGCTTGCTGCAGGGCATAGCAGAAGCTTGGTAATTGGATTTTATCAAAAATGGTCTACAAGTCTGTAAATATAAAGGTAACTTCAAAAGTGACTTTCAGAGTGTTACACATTGCATCTATCTGTGCCGAAATTAGCTTAATATTTTATGTTGGGCAACAATGAATATCCCCAAGGGCAGCTGATGTGATTATACAGCAAATGGGAAAGAACATTCACCATAGACTCACTAATATCCTGATATAACTCCGCTTCAAATATGTACTTGGTATACATCTGGTTGAGTAAGTCCCATAACTCAGAAGAGTTTCAAAGAGAGATCACTGCTTTTTCTGGGAACTGTTTGTCTCTGACTCATTTAAAAGGCTGTATGTCCCACAGGGAAAAGGGTGTTTTTGCCTTTCCCATCACTGTATTGGTCACATCTGTACACAGGTACCTGGAACAAGAAAGGTGCCCAGTAAGTATTTGCTAAATGAATGAATGAATGGAACATATGCAGCGCTCAGGGTGTCTCCTCTTTCTGAAGGTCTGTATCACTTCTCGGTACCAGAAGATGTGGTTCTTGGCACCGCCATAGGAAGGGTGAAGGCCAATGATCAGGATATTGGTGAAAATGCACAGTCGTCATATGACATCATTGATGGAGATGGAACAGCACTCTTTGAGATCACTTCCGACGCCCAGGCCCAGGATGGCATTATAAGACTGAGAAAGGTAAGCTCAGGAAGGTTTTGCTCATCTTCAAAATATTAATACCTTTTTGAAACGTGAACATTGAAGATGGTGGAGTTGGGTGCATTTCCTGATGTAACCTTAGAAGGGAAGGAGGTTTGCCTTCTTTAGCTATGAAAAAGTAAGGGTCCTGGGACCTCTCTGGTGGTCTAGGGGCTATGATTCCATGCTCCTAATGCAGGGAGCCCAGGTTAGATCCCTGGTCAGGAAACTAGATCCTACATGCCGCAACCCACACGCCATGTGCCACAACCAAGACCAGGCATAGTCAAATAAATGAATGATAAATAATGTTGGAAGAAATAAGAAGAAAAAGTAAGAGTCCTTTTCTCACATCTTATCTCTGGCCGTACTTTATATTTCAGCTAAAGCTCAGTAAGCAGTGACCATGCTGGTGCTAGCCTGCCATCTCATCCATCATTTCCCTCCTGTCTGTGCCTCAGTGTTTTTCCATGACATGCAGGAACTTGCTCAGTCCTTGTCCAGAGCCTCCAGCTATGTAGGAAAGTGAACACCGAGGGCAGCCTTCAAGCAATGAAGGACAAAGACTTGTGGACAGTTTCCTTGGAAGAAATTATCCTGAGGCAGATTGTCTGTGGCTCCTCAGAGGTTTTTCAGTCGGGGGTGGGGGGAATCCTCATTAGCACACAGAGGTGGCGAATTCAATGCCTTTTCTATAGAACTACCCCCACCCCACCCCATATCTGTATTCCTGCTTCCTGGAATAGTTTTAAAACATGCATTGACAGTTCCTAGGTCTACTTTTAGGGAAACTCAAAGACAGACAAACTAGTCAGCCTGTTATTCTGGATCGCTCTGGCCCTGAAAGGACAGGGCCCACCCCCCTAACATAAGATACTCCAAGTTGCAATCAAATGTCCAAGCAATGATGTCAGTGAAGCTCAGCTTTTGGTTTGCTCCTGGCTGTGGGGCTGGACTTCTCAGGTGGTGTTAGTGGTAAAGAACCCGCCTGCCAGTGTAGGAGATGTAAGAGACACGGATTTGATCCCTGAGTTGGGAAGATCCCCTGGAGGAGGGCATGGCAACCCACTCTAGTATTGTTGCCTGGAGAATCCCATGGACAGAGGATCCTCGTGGGCTACATCCATAGGGTCTCAAAGAGTCAGACAGGACTGAAGCGACTTAGCATGCATGCACCTGGGGCTACCACTGAAGAAAGAAATATCTCCATAAATAGTACAAAGAATATATGGCAATCTGTGATTGCTTTTGCTCACAACCATTTGTATGTGTGTATGTACATATGGTAAATGTGAAAAATTCTGTACATTTTCCATATTTATTTCTCATGACAAGTTTATTTAAAAAAATGTGTAGAGCACAGTTCAGTATTTTATGAACATGGGTATTTGCAAAGGAAAATGCCCCTTTATCCTCATAATGAGTATTTTGCTCAACATTGTACTGCATGTTTGTTATGAAGTAGTAGAAACTAATTTTAAAACAGATTTGTTGATTCATCAATTGGAAGACATATGATCGGTCACAGTCGGGAGCCAATAGTTCTGCCCTCTGTCTTGATCGGCAATATATTGACATGACTCTGAGCTTACTATCTGACTCTCTCTCTCATGTTACACAGGGATCTGCTCCCCATGGTCATGCTCTTGAAATCCCCCATTGAGGAGGTCTTGACAATGAGAACCTGGAATTTTCTGGATATACTCTAAAATACAAAATCAGTTTTGAGGAAAAAATTGGTTGCATATATTTTAACTCTGCTGAGCAATGCTTCGTTTTGACCTGGATGGAGCTCAGTAGTAAAAGTTGCAAAGTATTTAAAAACTCATGTTTGAAATAGAGTACAGTATAATTATACTTGAGTCAATTATTGAGTAACCCAGGGCCACATTTTCCTTGGTTAATGATTCCTAATGTCATTTTTATTGTTATTATTAACTGCTATTCTTTGTAACCATAAGGTGCTTTTATAAACTGAAGCAATTAGCCATTTGCTATATTTTTATTCACCACTATTCATAAACTTGGAAACATATTCTACACATCTCAACACCAAGATACATGTGCATTTTACTCTGGAAAATGATGTAGGGAGTCATTTTCCCACAATGCATGGACCCTCTTTTTGGTCTGATAAAGTCCTAAGGACACCAAGATGTGTTCAGGTTGGGCTAAGAATTTAGCAGAGCATAATCTGCTATATTCGATGGCATTTGTGAAGAACTTAAAATTACATAATTGTTACAGTTGGGGCTGCTGGAAAATTGTGAAAATACTGATGTTGAATCGTGTATTCATGGGTATGTATATATATGTGCTTAGAAATTTCAGAATAGACAGGATTGAGTATCTGCTTGATTAGAAAATATCTCTCAAGAAAAGTTCAGTCCAATTAGAAAAAAATCAAATATAAAAATCAACACAAAATTTTGAGCTAAGAAAAAAAAATATATATATATATATTTAAGCTTATAGGAGAGGTCTGAAAGTTTGGTAATGCTGGCTTGTGTTCAGACTTCTTCTTCTTTTTTTTTAAATTTGCATTGCAGATGTAAAGTTCAATTTCTTATAAGAAATTGCAATGCAAGCCTAAATTATTTTTTTGAACCTTGACAGAAATACATCCTTGACATCTGAAGTATTATGCCCTGCTGAGAGAATTGGACAGCGAGGATTCTGACGCAGTTGGGCTTTGGGTTGTTTAAGGGGACTGTCTTCTTTTACCTTCCTCTATTTACTTAGATCATTAAGTCTTTGGGGCTTTTAAGGCAGGAATAATTAATAGGTCAGAAATATTTTCAGTAATGGTGCAATGAGGTAATTTCGCATTGCTTTTAAGTGGTTAGTAGCAGACATGGTAAGTCCTAGCTATCTATATATCTACCAGTCTCCCTCTTCCGTCCCTTAAATATAAACACAGGTAGATATGTATCTGCCTACATCTTTATATGCCCACCTGCTTCACAGCACGAAACTCATAATAGAGACCTTCTAAGAATGCCCTAAAAAAGAATAAACTTCATTTTAGCCATGATCAGCAAAGCAGTGATGCTCTGGAAGTGAAATAAGAAAACACTCTTTGTTGGGATTAGTGCTAAATTATGCTTTATAATGTCTCCATGGACTAAACAATGATTATTTCTCGTTCTTTACATTTCACACACTGTTGCCGAAATGATAAAAATATTCTTCCCAGATAGAGAGTGTGTTCGATGCTGCCTTATCTCCGACCAGCAGAGACCCGATTAACTGACTGATTGGTATGCAGGTCACACCATCACTAGTAAAATTTTATTATGACTCTGAAGTGAAATTTTGATGGCACGATTCATGACTGTGAATATTTTGTGAATTCCAAGTGAAATGAGCAAAACAAAACAAAACAGTAGGAGATTAGATTCACTGAGCTTGTATAATAAACAGATATCAATAAATGCCTGTAAAATTTACAGGTTGAATACGGGGGATAGGAGAGTGATCCCATTAAGACTCACAAATGGGCTTAAATGCACATAACGATCATCCATCAGTGTTATACACATTTGTTCTCGCGGCTGTGGTCATTAGTGAGAAACATTCATCTTTGTCATTTCTTAACAGCCTCTGGATTTTGAGACCAAAAAATCCTATACACTGAAGGTAGAGGCGGCCAATGTCCACATTGACCCGCGTTTCAGCGGCAGGGGGCCCTTTAAAGACACTGCGACGGTCAAAATTGTCGTCGAAGACGCTGATGAGCCTCCCGTCTTCTCTTCACCGACTTACCTCCTGGAAGTGCATGAAAACGCTGCTCTCAACTCCGTGATTGGGCAGGTGACCGCTCGTGACCCCGACATCACCTCCAGTCCAATAAGGTATTTCTCTTTTAAAAGGAAGATTCACTATGTACAACGTGTGACAAGCAAATCAGTACAAAATGTAATTAAGTATGCAGTCCGTGTGGCTGCCTTTGAGACATTGCTCACATGGCCAAGGGATTTTGGTCAACATGCATCACGCTTGTGTCTATGGGTGTGTTGCACACACATGTGCTCACACACCTGGAAAGAGCTATATATAATGCTCAGAGCCAGAAATGCTAGGATGAAGAAAGCTGTTTGGCTTTCAGAGAGCACAGTGAAAAGGCCAGATCAACATGTATTTTGCAGTGAATTTGGGTGGATCCTTTATATTACACTGTTTTTGTTTGTTGTGCATTTTTTTCCTAGCATCAGAAAAGTATTGCTATTTTTTTCTTTTTCCTTTGACAATCACATGGGTTATGTATAAAAATTTAGAGGCATGAGGTCATTGTCTTGGAGTATTAAGAGACCCCCATCTTATTTCTGTATTTGGGTTTGAAATTATCTTTTTATCACTTGATGGGCATTTCTGATCAGTCAGCATATCCGCATGGGTGCCTTTTAGATAAAAACCTTTCTCTGCTATTTCAAAAGTACCCTTTGTTTATACTTTTCCTGCTCAAAAATTTTTCCAAGATGAGAAATATAACCCTTTATTAAGGTTTTTCTTCTTTTTTTAGAAATGAGGCTCAGTTCTGGGATTTTTTTGTTGTTGTTGAACTGTGTACATCTTTTCTTTTGCCAGTCACCCAAATGACGGTGCAGATGCTCAAGCTAAATAGCTTTCTTCCGAAAGAACACTGAAAATCTATAACTTGTCCACTGGTCTCCAAGGGTGAAGTGTTGGTTAATGACGTGTTTGAGTGTGGATTTCAAATATTTTCCGAGAAATGTTTGTTGAAAAAGAGAGAAAACTAAATAGAAGAATAATTTTAAAGAAGTGTCCACTTAATTTATGAGTTAGATGTCAGCTTATGTGCAAGTCATTCAGTTTCTAAATTATGGGGACTTAGGGCAGATATTTTTCTAATTACTTTTTTCAGAGAAACTCTAGATAGACAAATGGCACTCTGAAAGCTATGTTTATTCAATTCTTGTTCCTGTATTAAACTCTCAATACTCCCGAGGGTGCTGAAACTCTGAGGCTGGAGGTGAAACACATCGGAGTAGTCAGTGACCCAAATAATTTGTGTCTGGGCAAAAAATAATTCTTTTCAGATCCAGAAAAGTTGTTTTTAGCACAAGCCATTTTGAAATTCAGAATGAGAGTGTATCTCATAAGGATACCAAAAAAAAAAAAATGCTTCCTTCAAAAGAGCAACCTCTAAGAAGGTAGAACTCCATGTGGGGAATTGAGGAATGGTCAGTTGCCTATTCTCTGTTCTAAAGGAACTCAACATCTGTAGGCACACAGAATCCTCCCTATTTGCTAAGAGAACTGTACCTCTAAAAGGGGCAAGAAGTGGATACAAGGGAAGAAAGAATCCAGAAAAATAAGTTTACATGGATGTCCATTTTTTGACTAAACGGTGAAGTTGTGACATCACTTTATGCTGCAGTTCTAAAAATAGAGGCAATGATACTTGTTGAGTAAATGAATCTGCCCAGTTTTCAGCTGTTACCCTTTTCTTCTGAAGGAACACAGAACAGAGCAGTTACCACTTCCTTCACCTCTTTAAGCATAAGAGACAGGATAATGACAAGGGTAAACAAGATTGAACCAGCCGGGAGACCAGCCATGGGCTAGCTTAGCGCTTGGTTGGTCAAGATTTCTGCTCCTGTCAGCAAAGACCCCACAGGGGGCCAGGAGCAAGTCGAGCTGAGGACCCTCCGGGAAAGTGGGGGTTCAGATATCAGGGCGTCCCGGGTACACCCCAGACATGGAATCTGTAGTACGAGCAGGAACAAACTTCCTGTGCTGAGACATGTTCTTCATCGGCTAGAGATGCAGTTTGAGGAACTTTTGGTACTGAAGTGATACTAACCTCAAATGGACAGAAATGGTAAAAATCTAGGTTCAGAACTCCCCAAGTTTTTCATCTATCTTTTTACTTATGTAAAATGGATATTTTTATGATCATTCCAGTTCACAGGGACTCCAGTGACTAGTATCATTGTAACAATCATTGATTGTTACAGCTTTTGCTATTGTTTTTTATTACTGCCACTGGCATAAAAGGCAGGTGTATAAGAAGCTTGAGGCTGCTTAGCAACAACTGCCCAATTTGGAAGAATTCATTTCCAAGCAAACTAAAGGGGGCTTGGGGTCATGTCCCCAGGAAGAGATGGACAGATGAAGTGCCATTTGATGGCACAGGCATATCGGTAGCTCTGGTAGATGGCAGGCAAGTGCTATTAATGGTTCCCTTGGCATATGTGCCTGTGTATGTGCAAATTCACTCCAGTCACGTCCAACTCTTTGCGATCCCGTGGACCATGCCTGCCGGGCTCCTCCGCTCATGGGATTCTTTAGGCAAGAGTACTGGAGTGGGATGCCATTTCCTTCTCCAGGGGATCTTCCCAACCGAGGGATTGGACCCGCATCTCTTAAACCTCCTGCATTGGTAGGCGGGTTCTTTAATACTAGTGCCACCTGGGAAGCCTAGATGGCATATATGGCCCCTCCCAAAGAAGGGGTAAGCAGCATTTCAAGTCATTTCCAGCAGGGCTTTAATGCATTATTCAGAAAGATTGCCCCACATGGTTCTGATTGGCGGTGCGTTGGCTCCATGGGATAAGAATGTAAGAATCACCAACGACATTTCTTCAGCATCTGTTCTGCATTTTTGCAGTTATCCCCCCTCCCACCCTAGTCCCCCAGTTGGGTTGTAGAGAGCGGCTTTCCTCTTTCTATGCACAATTGGTTAATTTGTGTAGAAAATTAAATTTCCTGACCAGCCAGAGCAGTGCAGAGTTCCTTATAAGTCTAGCAGACAGTTAGAGCCATTTAACCTTTTAAAACAGGACTAGAGGACACAGATATTCAGGGAATTATCAAGTAACAAATAGTAAAGCATGACTGTCTCTTTAGGATTGTTGTATTTTATATACTAACAAGACCGTATCCAGCTTTTCGGGGAACGTTTACTTTGCTATCCAGCAAGAAATAGGCATTTATCCTGACATCTTCCATGTTAAAACATGTAGTCATTAATTGGCTGGTCAACTTCCTCTATGACTCAGCTTCTTTTGAGAGCCCACTGTCAGGCTAAAAGTATCAATGTATTTAAAAATTCTTATAACTAAACATGTATCTATGTGTATAAACATATCTGTGTCTATATCTATGTTTGTATAATCACAGGGCAAACAAACAGTGATATAAAGACGAAACATAAAGGCAAAGTGACAAAAAAGGCAAAATCTCCCTTCCAGGAACATTAATTAAGCATGTGCTACCCTCTTCATTAGCATATGCCTTTCAGTAGTATAGAATATAGTTGCGTAAATTATTTAAAAGATGCCATGTCTTGAAACTACAACAGACTGTTTCAAACCCTGTCACTACTACTTCCCAGACAGACAGCTGGTCTCTGGAATTCTCTTTAAGGCTCAGCTTCTTCTTTGGTATTCTGGGATAATATCATCTTCCTCAGACAATTACTGAAATAATTAAGTTGTTAAATAAAATAAGTGGAGTTATTAGGACTACCAACTAATAGAGCCACCATAAATTTCATATCTTAAATGCAAAATAAAAGCCTAGCACTCATTTTAGCAGAGAGTCTTCTACTAAAGGTTGCTGACTGTGCAGGTTTATCTTTTTCTTTTCACGTATCAGTTGCATGCTAAATAGTCTAATTAACCTCATTTAGTCTAATTTGCCTTTGCTACTGTGGTGAGTATTGCTACTAGTGAGTGCTTGATGTGTGGCAGGGATGTGCTACACGAGTTCATTTCATTCTTTACCACCTCTATGAGATAATGTGTATACTCATTTAACAGATGAGGAAGCGGAGGATAAAGACTGTCTTGCCCATTGTCACACAAATAGTCAAGGATGGAACTGTGGTGCATAGCCATTTTTTGTCCTTCTTTCTGACAATGCAATGCCTGCTTTCTATCCTTTGTCACACTCCCTTTCTTTTCTTGTGATTTCTGTGACACAAACTGTGTCTTGACATGTTGGGATGGCTTAGCAGGACCAATATTTTCTACAAATCTTTTTTTATTTGTTTATTCTAGTAAGTTTCAGGTATACAGAATTATAGTTAGACTATTTTGTTTATAGTATAAGTGTTATGCTATGGTATGTACTATAATGTTATGTTATAGTACAGATGTTTGTAGTATAAACATCAGTATACACTACAGAGTTTTCACCACCAAAGCCTTGTCACCATCTATCACCATACAGCTCACCACCCTCACCCATTTCACCACCTCCAAAATCCTCTTCCTTTCTGGTAGCTACACTTCTCTATGAGTGTGTTTCTGTTTTATTTTGTTTTAGATGGCAAATATAGTAAGATTATATGATATTTTTTCTTTCTCATGACTTACTTTACTTAACATAATACCTTCAGGGTCCATCCACGTTTTCACGAATGGTAGGATTTTATTCTTTTTCATGACCAAATAGTATTCCACTGGTGTGTGTGTGTGTGTGTGTGTGTGTGTGTGTGTGTGTGTGAGAGAGAGAGAGAGAGAGAGAGGGGTTACTCACTTCCAGCACAGAGCTGTGTGTGTGTGTGTGTGTGTGTGTGTGAGAGAGAGAGAGAGAGAGAGAGAGAGGGAGAGGGAGAGAGAGAGAGGTCTTCTTTATCCATTCATTCATGGATGGACACTTAGATTGTTTCCATATCTTGGCTATTATAAACAAGGCTGCTCTGAATTAGCAAGATCAATTTAATTGAAATACAAAAACAATTCATTTCCTAACTGGTTTCATTCAATTCAGGATTCACACCAAGAAAAAGGAGAGTATACCAGGTCTGTGGAATTACCCAGAGTGTGGGTGGAGTGTTTCTTGCTCCTTAGTCTAGCCCATTTGTGTGGGTCTGTTACTATCA